AGGGAAAGCCATTGACCTGCAGCAGGCTGAGACAGTGGTAACACTCTCCAGAGCAGCCATGAAGAATCTTCCATCACAGACAGCTCCAGCCGCTGCTCTGGCAGAGATCACAGGACCATCCACGATGCCTGGGCAAGATTTTAGCTCTTTCATTACCCAGATGAGACTTGCAGATTAATCCTTTTTTTCCAGAGAGATAGAAGAAGAGAGAGTGATCAACAGGTAAAGAGACAACATAAACTATCAAAGACAGTGAAGAAAAGAATTAAGCTTCAGATGGGGAGAGAAAAAAGGAGATGCTTTAATAAACTGAAATATTCTTTTGCTAAAATATAGAGACAGACAGAAATGTTCTGAAAAACTCCTTTAATTCATGACAGAGTATTTTGGGGGGAATAGAGTATTTCAAAGTGTGGATTTAAGCAAATGGTGAAGTAGTTGAGATCTAATGTGATGCTGGAGCAGAAATGGAGAAGTGATAGTTGTTGAAAATTTGTGGCCCTTAAGAGGCAAAGAGAAAACTTCTGTTTCCAGAGATGCTCACAAAAACAGATGAAGAGAACTTTTGCCTTTGAATAACTCATCCTGAAAATGACACCAATAGACTCATGACCCATAACACACCTCAGAGTGATGTGAAATGGGAGGAGAGAACTGATGGCAGAGTTTTCTGGGCGGCTGGCATCAGGGAAATAGAAAACCATAGGAAAATGGTTTTCTTGTGAAAAACTCCATAGATTAGCAGAAGAGAACTTATTTTTCTCTACAAAGACTGATGAAGAGACTGTAACAGAGTTGGGACCGTTTTAACCACCAAGGTATTTTTTATCTCTATGTTGTCATGTGAACGAGAAAATGGTTGGGTAGTGGGGAAAAAGGAGTTCTGGAAGTTTTATTCTGGTTTCTTATTCTGGTAGTTTTGTTAATAAACTTTCTTTGTTCCTTTTAAGTTTTAAGCCTGTTTTGCTCTTGTTCTAATCCATATCTCACAGCAAGAAATAAGTAAGTTTTCTAGTGATTTTTTAGCTACTGCTTTAAAACCACAACAGCTTGGGAGAAAATAAACGACCTTTCAAAGCAAAAGACTACCTTTGCCTATTGCCTGATCATGAAAACTACGAAAAACTCTAAAAGCTCCAAATATTTATCATTTGCATGTCAATACAAAGTAAATTCAGACTTGGAAAATAACTTAAATATTAGTCTGAATTCTGCAATATTTAGAAACAATGTCACAGGAAATTTCATGGGGAGAACCAGGTTATTATTGCAACAGAAGAAAGCAGAATTCAAACTGTTTCTGCAGTGTTCATTATAAAATTAAAAATAATGGGTTTGGCTCTCTTTGAGGGTACAAGGAGAATAGTATAAGGTATTTAAGAGACAATCACTGAGTCTGTATGTAATAAAGTACAGTAAAAAATAAAGTCCAGTAAGTATAAAATCCTATCTTAAATCCAACATACAAGTTGCAGCTAGGACTTCTCTCTATATATACTTCCATTCATTTTATGTGTTTAGATCATAAATTCCTCAGGGTATACAGCATGTACCTCTTTGGACACATGCTGCATACAGAGGAGCCACTATCTCATATCAAGCCCCATCTGTTATTGTGCTTTTTATTCCAAAACAGGGCTTGAATTGGTAATTAAAAATAACATTGATCAGCATTCTTATTTCTGCTAGAGTGAGATACTATGAAACTGGGGCCCTCACACTTCTGCAGTATACACAGGAATCGGTGACAATTTTGCTTCAGTGATCGAGATGAGCTGTCCTTCAGGGACGTGTGTAGAGATGTATGTGCACGTCCAAAATCTATTTCATAACTGATTATGCCAAATCAAATCAAATCACTATCTTTCCTTCTGTTCTAAAAAAAAAGCAACCCTTCTCCTGCCTCCTCTTTTTACTGGGAAAAGGGCCAGGCCTGCTGGATGCACAGTGGTCTGCGGGAATGTGCCATTTCAAATCCCAGCTGAAAGGGGCACAGCCAGGTTGGCACATCAGTCCAAGGACAGGTGGTGCTGGGGAGTCGGGGAATGGAAGGATAGAGGCAGAGTATGTGCACCAATCAGAGAGCTTTAGCTTGACACTGAAACAGCAGATGAAGCTGTGGCCTTGGACTAAGCCTCCATTTCCATTTTTACACCTTTAATGGTGAGACAAACACCTTCCAGCACACATTGCCATTCATTTATTCAACCTCACCCAACCCCCATATATTTATGGGCTCTTCAACCATAGAAGGACTACAGAGCTCATCTAATGTGACCTCCTGGAAAACTTTTTATTTAACTTTCAAGAGAAGTCAGAGGAAAGACAAAGACCCCTTTATTTCATATTCTTAATGAAAGAGAGACCACACACTGTGTGGTAGATTGTTCTAAGAGCTAAATGATAAAAGGAGAGAGGAAAGGCTTCTTTGCTTCTGGTTTGAACTCACTTGGCTTCAACTTTCAAATACACACTTCTGAGGTACTGAAAATCCTTTATCAAAGCTGTGTTTTCCAAAGAGATAATTATAGAGCTCATACTCATTAATATTATCCTCCTTAAACACAGCTGGGTTACTTCTTTGATCTATGACTTTGGTGCATATTTTCCATGCTTTTGGACACAATAAATTCAAAACTCAGGAAGATCTATGTCCCAGTTATAAGATCTATCATTAGACAGAAAACATTTTGAATCCATGCATGCTCAGAATGATCTCACATTCAGCAGTCTTCCTTATCCATATGAGGTACATTTACATTTTAGCAAATAAGAATGATATGATTGAGGAAATTAACATTACATACTAAGATTAATAAAAGTAAAATTAAAAAATAAGAACAGCACTTTATGTGTTCTTTTAATAATTATTATGTCAATATTATTGCGTGAGCAGTTTTTCCATCTTCTGTAGAAAAGCTCATCCCCTAACAATACTCTTAATTCAACAGAAATGATGAATAAAATGCAGATGATGTAAAAACTGGCCCAGAAATTCAAACTATTAATCCCTCTAATAAAGACAATCACTTTTATGTTTATGCTTAATTTATGTTGTTGCATAAATTACTTGCATATTATTTTAAAATTTGCTACATATAAGTAATATTTTCAGTTCAAGGCTCTTCTATATTGCTTCCCCTCGATTTCTTCAATTCACCTTTTCTTTCTCTTTCTGTGTGCAAAACACTGCTTTATTATTTAACCACTATTCAATAACTTAATCCAGTTTTGTTCCCTATTCACCTAATTTGGTAGGAAAGCACAAGCCAAGCTTTTGGCAACCCAGAGCAGGAAGGCCACGGGGCAAATGTAGCAGCATATTTTATAGGTCAAGGACATATTCAGTATTTCAGAACATTCCATTCAAGATTCAGCAAAAACTCCCATGAGTAATACACAGAGGTCTTTCTTTGGCAAGAACAAAGGAAACCACATAACTGTATTTATTCTCATTCTTTTTATCTTCCACAGAGAGTCTGTCAGCACACCAGTAGGAAATGAATGTAGATTTTCATTTGGTTGGGTTGTCACTATTACTGAGTTGAACCACAGTTCAGAGAATACTCCAGCAACATGTCAGTTTAACCACCTGCAGCTGGAATTAATATTAGACTGTCTTATACAAGCAGTAGATAAATTTCAGGTTTCAACAGCACCAACATTTTTGAGCTTCTTTCTGCTATTTTCTCTCATTTTCAATATCCTTTATAGAAAGTTATTTTGGGAACACTTCAAACATAAATGAGTGGCTAACATTTGTAACCTTTGAACAAAGCATAGTCTCTGCAAGTCAGAAAGATGACCTTTAATTTGATATATTTAAGGAAGAGAGAAACTGCTTTGTCTTAATGCAAAACAATTAGAAAAAATAGTATATAAATACTGCTATATTGCTCCAAAGTGGAAATCACTGAAAAGGAAAATGATAGACAGAGCTTCACATAAACTGCTTCAGTTCCAGGAAAGGTCAAGTCAGAGACTAGACTAGACCAGACCTTCTCCTTTAGAACTTAAATGAAAGTACATCAATTCCTTAATATACAGCAATTCCCTATAAACTAAGCAAATTACTACGTATCTAATTCCCTTTGTGGCATGATTGCTATCAAGGTTTTCACCTGTGTGTGTGTGTTTTTAAGCAACAGCTATGAATATGCAAGAAGAAGGTATTTTGCTACATAATTATCTAGAGTAAAAAGTATGAATTAGTTATCCAGAAGAATGGTATCTCTTACTTGAACCTCTGAAGAGAAACTCAGTTGTCTTTGTCAGGAAATTAAGAAGAAAATACTTGCTCAGATACTAAAATAATTATTAAAAAAGAGAACAAGAAGAAGAACTCTGTAGAAACACAGCTTGCTATAAGCATGGTTAGGAATTGCATTGCACCATTCCCTTTTCATTTCACCATTCCACCTAATTACAGCTCTTTTTCCCACACTGACTTTCTCCATTTTCATACTGCAATGTTTCTCTACTCAACTTACTTTTAAATATTAAAATGGGGAGACAAAATGGGAAAATAGTCTCAGTTTTTCCTCTGTGAAAGGAAAAAATAGGAACAAAAAAGGAGCAATTGGAAATAAAGAACTACAAAGTATTCAGATTTTTAAAATTTAAAATATCTTTAAGCTCCACTGTATTTTAAGGATTACTGGAAAGAATCCAAATATTCTGAAGAAGGGCTATGCGTAGCCATAATGATCAAGATGAAATTGAAACCATTGGTAGGGATTGTGTATGACAATTTAAGCTATGAATTGCTTAAATTTAAGAGATGAATTGCCTCTCAGCATCTAATTGCTCTTTTTCTTTTTTTTTAATTAAAATTTTAGAATCTCCATGTCTCTCTTGCTGCCTTAGAAAATAGCAATTCCTTCTACTTCCAGAGGAATCTAGAATTAATCTGCCTCTAAATTACTTTTCTGCTTACAAGAATAAGAAGATTAGTCAGACAATACATATATAGATATTTTATACATTAGAGGTAGATTTACCTTGTGACCTTCAGAGAAAGTCATTCCATCAATGGCCCTTTTCCAAGTAATCTCTGGGACAGGTTCTCCTTCTGCTTCACAGATGAGCGTTGCTTTCCCATTCTCAAATGTGGTTTCATTTTTGAGTTGTATTATTTGAGGCTGCACTGTTAAAAATACAAATTGCATTACTGATCCTGCACAAAGAATGTCATATCAAAATCTATCTTTAAAACCACTTTTTAAATTTTTTTTAATTTTTTTTTTTTTTTTTGGGTTAACTAAATTTTAATGTTACTATCTATAAAAGCAATTAACTTTTTGGACCTCAAGTTGCACAGCAACCATTCCTGTATGCCCCGAGCTGGACATCCTTCTCCCTTTCTTGGGTACAGTAGTATGGGTCCAAGCTGATCTGGCTTGGTGGCTGTGTTTGTGTGCTTTTTTCCCCTTAGGAACTAGCTACCCAGGAGCCTGTGGAGTCTCCCTCCCTGGAGATAACCAAAACCCAGACAGACTTGTCTCGAGATGTCTACTCCATCTGACTGTGGACTAGATGGTCTCCAGAGGTGTTTTCCTATTTCAGGCATTCTTTGATTTTATAATAACACGTTTGTCTTCAAACACATATTATTCAGGAAAAAAAAATATGAATTATTACCCTTCTTTGATTTTGATCTTTAGCAATGTTTCACTGGCCTACATAAATTAGAGACTTTAACAAAATCCCCCAGCAATAAACACATTTCACAGGTATTAACACTATGGAGAACTGAAGAGTCCTGTGATACAAAGGTACTCATCCTTACTTACCAAGTAAACTGGTGGTAAGATACATTTAAAAAAATCCAGGTATTGTTTGCATTCTTCAAATCATTCAACTTTATAGCCTCAATTACATAGTGCTACGTCTTTCAATCTACACTATACCTTATCAGGTTATTTATACATACAATATAATTTCTGTTTGCATGTGAATACTTCTACATTGAGGATTTATCTGTACAATATCACACAAGAACTCTGTATTAGTATTGTGCATAGAATATTACTCTCTTCCATGACATTCAAGTATCTTCATTAAAATTTTTTGGTCCTATATATTACCTCATATATAATGATTATTAAGTTTCTCTGAACCCATTCCTGTTATACATTGAAAAAGACACTCATCCCCCTGGAAAACCCAACATGTAATCCTTAAATAAGAATATGATTCAATATGTTTGCACCCAAAAGCAGTGAATGAAATTTACATGAGTGAATCAAAATTGGGCAGCTCTTAAGATTGACTTCATCAACTTTAAGTACATTTGTTGAAAAAAATGTATTTTCTAAACAGCTTTTCTGAGCTTGGCTTTTGAGGAAGCACTACTATAGTGCACTCCTTATGAAACAAAACAAAGAAATGTAATCTGTTTTCTAATGGGGTTACTGAAGCGTGTGCCATGCAGAAGAGCAATATTGGCTTATGTTCATGCACCAAAATGGGAAAGATAATCTTTAAGGCTGGAATGGACACCAGGAGGGCTTCTTGACCAACCCCCTCATGAACACAGCATCAACAGACCCTGTTCAGGTCAGATTGCTCAGGGATTTGTCGAGCACTATCTTGAAAAATGTCAAGAACAGAGACTAGACAACCTTTCAGCAGCCTCTTGCAGTGCCTGGCTGTGCTGGTGAGGTTTCTTTTCCTTATGTCCAGTCTCATGCTTCATTTATGACTCATTTATAAGTGTTGTCTCACAGATGCTACATTCAGCATCACGAAGAAGAACAGTAAAAACAGGTTCAAACTTGCTATCTGTAGGCATATAACCTACCTTTTATCCACTCCCTCCACACAATTCTCAGTCTCACTTCTCATTCCTTTCCTCCATATTCATTCTGTTGCTTCTCTGCTGTCTGTTCACCCTCGACTATTATGAGTAAATTATTGTGTGTTTACTGCATAGAGATGAGAAACAAGTAGCATTTTACCTAAGGGAGCACTGAACTAATATCCTGCTTCATTAATATATAATCTATGGTGATTGAGATCATGTAAAGAAAGAAAATAGCCTGAATGATCAGGAATTCTTGAAAAGTCAACTGGATCCAGATTTATTGGATGTGGTGGAAGGTAGCAAGCAAATCATTACATCAACATATCAATTTGACCAAGAAAATACAAAATTCTTGTGTGATACAAAAAGGGATATCAGTGGAAGGATCTAAAAATCCCAACCAGAATTAGAGATAAAAGATAATTATGTTAAACTTCAAAAAAACTTCAGTTATTACTCTTACTTTCAGGATCATTCAAATGCCTATGAAATAGTTCACCTTGGCACTCAAGCACTCTATTTCTATTGCCATATCACCTGGCTACAAAATAATCTGTTCTATCTTTTCATTCCTTTGATTTATCATCATCCCTGGGAAAAAGGAAAGAGCTAGAGCAGACATAAAGCTTTTTTTTTTTTTTTGTCAGAGGGATCATACATAGTATTTCATGCCAAAAATTCTCAAAATTTACAATTATTTCCATCAAAATGAGTTTCCCATCTGGACAACATGACAAACAATGCAATTTGCTCAAGATGATGCATGTTCCAAAACACAAAAATAATTCTTAACCTTAGACTTATTCCGAATTCCTTTAAGACCTTCTTCAAATGGATCACTACAAGACAAAAAGTTTTAGCTTGACATTTTAGACAAGAGTACCTGACATTTAAAGGAATAAGCACTGATTAATCATCAAATACATCTAGCTGACAGTTATTACTTGGAAGAAAAGAGCTCATATGGGGAATATTATTTAATTAATTCATTTTTGTAGGTCACAACTCATAACTTACTATTGACTAGAAATTTTTACATTGTTTGAATACTTTTCAATGACATTTTGGACATTGAAAAATATTAAAATACATTTGTGTACATGTAAATAAAACTATTTGAAAATGCCAAGACTAGTATTGACAGAAATACTAAAACAGTCATTTCCCCCACCCTCCCACC